GAAGCCAAGATGTTGAGCTCTATTTGATTTTACTGGAGCAGTGTTGCCATATCAAATCATAATTCCGAGCCATTTATGTAAAACCTGGATGACTCTCGACTCATTTTCTAACTTTGGTAAATATTTGAAGTCGCGACCTTGAAACGATACAGTCATATCATAGAGGTAACTCTAAGACTAGAAGGTCCCGAAATAACGTGTTCAACTTTTGGGCTCAGCTCTGGTATTCTCTTCGGTCCCAAGCTAATCGATTCACCCCTCGAAACATAGGAAAAACCAATAACCCCTCATTTTATCTGTCAAAGTTCCATAGCTAATCAAAACAAACATTGCGTAGTACTAGAATTTCGACTAGAATGGGATACGTTAATCTTTTGCTTGGGACCAATAGGCTAGTCAAGTAGTGAGCCAATTTAAAATCGTTACTTTCGTATTGATTGTTGGTGATATTGAGTTCTATGTGATTTTACTCGAGCACTGGTGTGCCATCTACTGACTGAATTTCAAATCATTCACGGTAACCCTGACTGGTTTTTGACTCATACTCTAACTTTGCTGATCATTTGAAGTCATTACCTAGAAGCGATCCCGAGATATTGAGTTTTATTCAAGTGGTAGGTCACTCCGCACACCAATCTTGGGTCAACTTTTTCCGCAGTGTTTCGCAGGTGTGCCGATTGTGCTGGCAGTGCCGGTCATAGAGCAAGCTGCGAATATTATGGTATATTTGGCATCCCGAAAATTCTGACAGCTTGAATGTTTTGGTTTGCAATCGCATTGATAATATTGGTCTAGCGACAATCAAGGAGGAATACTGGCGAAATGGGTCGTGAGGACAGGACACAACAAAGAAAAAAGGAAGAATGCAAATTCGGAAAAAGAACATGACATCGAAAAATACTAGCAAAGAGCAACCGCCGTCCATAAGATAATACAAGTCGTATGCATTAGGGTTTTGTAATGTCCTCAAAGGCAGACCAGAGGCCCAGCTTTTCGAGACGTGAAACGGAACGGTCTATCAGCGGCCGGAATAATGTTGGAGACTGAATAAGAGCACGATGAGTATGACTTCTATAGTTTGTTTTGTGGAAGTTGCAGTATTATTTGACTTACGGGTACCATTGAGATCTGATTAACTGCCTCTTACGCTTGAGCTCTCGCTACAGCCTACATTTCTGATATAAATGTGAACCGAGAAGGTAGAGGATGTTCCTTAAATATACACACTAAGATTATTTTACCGAAATCTGTGAAATTTTACCGAAATCTCAACAACTGAATGTTCGGTAAACAGTTCGGTGATTTTTCACAGATTTCCTGTAATTTTTCAACGAATATCTGTGAAAAATTACAGAAAATCTGTGAAAAATCACCGAACTCTTTACCGAACGTTCAGTTGTTGAGATTTCGCTAAAATTTCACAGATTTCGGTAAAATAATCTTAGTGTGTACAGTTCAACAGCACGTATTGTTGTGAACAACTTCAACTACAGCTATTCAGCAGTGCACTCATTTTATTGAATGAACAATCCAATGCCTACGAGACTGTGCCGAAGGTGTGCCAATGGATGTGCCCAAGCTGTGCCAAATCTACTTTCGGCACCCTGTGCTGAGTGACTTAACCCTTGGGTTTATTAGATTCTACCCGAGCAGTGTTGTCAAATAACGGCAGAATTTGTAGCCGTTCATGGTCACCCTGCATGGTCCGAAAGCCGTACTATAAATTTGTAGCAGAGCTGGGACTTCAACTACTTATCCGGATCAGTGCTGCCAAATCTCGACAATACACGGTGATATTGACAATTCTGCTTTGGTCACTCATTTGAGCCAACAGTCATAGTCAAGGCAAACCATGTAAATTGTCAATGACAATGCTGTCAGTGACGAACATGTGTAAATTTTTTATATTAACTAAATTTGTAACGAAGTTTACTGACTTGAGCAACACAATTACATGAATCCGTTAATGTGAACAAGCATCTACCTCCTGAACTACTTGGATAACAATAATGTGACACAGAATGTACGAAATTACACTTTTTGTTACCAGGTGAATCTTTGTCATTGACGAAAAAATGAATGAGATTTTGACGAAGGTTTTTTTGAGGATCAAGTCTGTCAGTGACTATGTGACGAACAGTTTTGTCAATATCGCGCGAAAGTCTGTCAATGACAATGACAAATCTCACACTGATCCGGATACTTCAGTTTTTCGATGAAATTACTTTCGGACAAATAAAACATCGTTGAATTGATATCCAGTATACAGAACATCATGCTTTCTAGTGCCCAATATTGAAATAAAATAAATTGAGAAAACGTTGAAAAGGTTATCAAGCGGATAGTAATCAACTGGATATCCGGATAGTGAAATTTTAAATATATTCTCCCTTTAATTTTTTTAAATTTTTATTGTTCTAAATATTTGTCAAAAAGTTTGTTTTTAGGTGCCCGTGTGGCCTGATGTAGAATGGCAGATCTGTTAATTGTCCAAATTTAATAAAATTGAAAATAAAAAAAATCTGGATAATCTGAGTCCCAGCATTAATTTGCAGAACATTTGAGTGGCAATCTTGAAATAATACCGAGATATTGAGCAATTCAAGAGTGGAAGCTAAAAATGTAGATAATGCGAAGTTTGGTCGTAAAAAAGTGGTCGTAAAATAAATTTCGTAAACAAAATGGTCGAATCTCAATTCTAGATGCTCGAAAAATCTCACACTAGCGAATCAATCTTTCATTTCTCGCCTCTACTTGCATCAGCTTTGTGCAGGAAATATTCAGAATCGTCATAAATCTCCTCCTATCAACTCAGCGCACGCACAGCTAACCACAGCAAAACAAAATCTTTCCTGCATCGCACATAGAGTCGCCCCCCTTGGTAATCAGAATGGTCGTAAAAAGAGGCTGGAGTGTATAAAGCATTAGGGTGATTCAAAAATCGTTTTTTTCCACCAAGCTTAATCGATTTCAATTCAGGTCCTGATAATTCTCCCAAATTTTAGCTCATTTGAATGCGAACTCATACTGCACTGTCCCTTGAAGTTTATGTGGAAGTTGCTATGGAAAAAGATAATTTTTTTTTCGAATCGTTCTAGCCATCCACCGTAATGATATGCGGTTAAATTTCTCGCGTGTTTTTTCAAATAGACCAATGTAGCATATCCACCATTTTGAGAAAATCGAAGTTGAAGTTCGACATATTATTATTTTAACTATTTAAAAACAATACATTTTGCAATACTATTTTTGATGTAGTCAGTGTATAATAACGTTGAAAATTTAGAAGAAACGGTAAAATCATCATTTTACTTTGAATTTCAGAAAATACCACATAGGACGTTTTGACAAGTCAAGTTGTACATCGGACATGTTACATTGGACGATTTTTCTCAATGACATAATCAATGAGTGTTACATTGGACGTTTTGTCCGAGGGGGACGACTCTATCTACGCTACAGTAAAGATTGTGTTGTACTGTGACTAGCTGCTCGCACGCTGAGTAGATAGAAAGAAGATTGATGACGATTCTGAAGATTTACTGCAAAAATATGATGCGCGATGCATGTAGATGCGAGAAATGCAAGAAGATTTTCGAAGATTAATTCGCTAGTGTGAGATTTTTTGAGCATCTTATATTGAGATTTAGATGTGTCGCCGCCCTCGGTTTTGTCTACATGATACTAGATTCCCTTTCACAGATTTCAGAGTATAGTACCTAACTTTAGATTGGCCCCGACTTTGGAAAATGAGCACCAATCATGTTAGGCAGTCCGAATGACCGAAGTAACAATCATGTACCCATCATTTCAAACTGTACATTGGACAATTTTTGATCAATGATTATCTTAAATAAATGAAAGTAAATTTGGATGGATGTTTTTGTATCACATACAATGATAGAAGAGCAATAGTTTGTATCGCTTAACTCGATTTGTTTACATTTGTTACATTGGTCTATTTGAAAAGTGACGCGAGATTTTCTATACGTACTATGTGAAATTTTCCCAGCTACAACTTTGCTCAAGACCAAATTTCAATTGAACACTAGTATAGTTAGTTATTAATTGATTACAAAGATGATATTCTTCTGGCATGCTTTATCAACTGCGCAGCAGGCAACAAGGTGCTTGGGCTGTGTTCCGTTTGAAGAATTTGCACTTAAATTTGACCGATGGAAAATTTTCAAATAAACCTGCAAAAACCAAACTTATATCTGACAGACCAGGAATCAATTTTGACAAACACCTTCTCGATCAACAACCGAGGGATTTTCGAATATTATAATCTATTTTCGAAGTGTCAAATATAAGTGAAAATTCGTCAAATCAAACACAGCTTTGGTGCGAAGAATTGGACAAAAATCCAGGCTACTATGGCTGTGAACCATTTGATGGATTTTTAAACTTTTGGTTAAAATTTTACAGATGGAAAGTTATCGATTAACCCTGCTATCCGAGCGTGGTTATTTCTGACAGACAAGAAGTTTAATCTTGACAACCGTGGCTGAGTTCTTCTCGAAAACCGGTCGATCGACAGCACAGGGATTTTCGAACATACAGAATAACTTTCGAAGTGTCACTTTTAACCACGGGTTAAATTGAACTCGGCAAATGGTTCACAGCCTAAGTACAAGATACAGTGTTGCGCAGAATCAGAAAGTTATCGGCTTCGTAATGAATTAATAACTTATAACCTTGAAGTTTAGTATAAAAGTTGAAGCTGATAAAAATTTCACATAACAAAGGATAGCAAGCTAACCGTAAATCATCGAATGATGAAAACAAAAAGTTCACTTTTCCCGTAGTAAAGTCCATATAAATTTCAAAGGGCCAGGGTGCAGAATGAGCTCATATCCAAATAAGCTCAAATTTTGAGAGAATGATCAGGACCTGATTTTGAATCGATTGGTAGATCAAAATCGATATTCAGAACCACCCTAAAATAGCATGTATCCCCACGATGGTGATTGTTCCCCTTTTCCCCAAATCAAACTCACCGTGTAACCATTGTAGGTCATCGTGTGCCCATGATCCGACGACACCACAATCAGCGTGTCCTCCACGTTGGTCATCTTGTGCGCCAGCTCAATCGCCCGGGAAAACTCGACCGTTTCCTCCAGTGCCAACCGGGGTTGCGTTCCGTGATGGGCCATATCAATTTTTCCTCCCTCAACAAACAGGAAGAATCCGTTCGCGCTGTTGCTCAAGACCTTCAGTGCCACTTCCACCATTTCGGACAGCTTTGGTTTGACTGCTCCCAGCTTTAGGTCATCAATTTCCAAATTGTACAGGCAGTGACCGCTCTGGAACAAACCCAACACGTTCTCGGTGTTTTCGACATCGATCGATTGGAGACCCGCCTTGTTCCACACATACTCGGAATTGCCGGGATGAGCCTCCTTCCATTCGTTGATCAGATTTCTTCCATCCGTGCGAGAACCAGCCACGTTCTCGTCGTCCATCTGCGTCGAAGGGACGAAATGCGCACGACCTCCACCCAAAATCACCTTGAAGTTCTTTCCGACTTCTCCGTGAATCAGCTGGTGGGCGATGTCGGGGTACTCGTTTACATCGCAACCGGCTTTCTTTACGAAGGAATCGTCTTCCCAGTCCCGATCCGCAACACTGGCGTACGTTCCCGCTGGAGTGGCGTGGGTAATTCGGGTGTTCGTCACTAATCCGGTAGCCATACCGGCTTCCTGAGCCCACTTGAGCAGTCCAAGGAATTCGGCTTCAGTGCGATTGTATTCACAATTGTAGCGCGGAACATGGGGACCCACATTGATCATGCCGTAGTTATTCTTCACTCCGGACATGAATGCAGTAGCCGTACAAGCCGAATCCGGTACCTGTCGGTTAACGCAGTAGGTTTTGGCCGTGGCCAGGTACGGGAACTGCTCGAACGAAAGCATTCGGTTTTCATTGCCCATGTACATACGGGTGGCAGCAATCGTCTGCGCGGACATGCCGTCACCGATGAAGTAGACCACGTTCTTGGCTTTCGTAACGGTTGGAACTTCGTTGAGTTTGGCTTTCAGGATATCTTGGGCCTTCTGCTGCCAGAACTCGGAAGTAGTTTCAATGGGGTCGTAGCCCACGGCTTGACGGCCGCTCTGCAGCTGTGATCGCTTGTGCTGATGATCACTGTCATAGGTGCGGTGCACTTCGTTGGCCAAGCTGACAGCGACCAGCATGGCTGCGAGAGGAACGATGAATGTCTTCATTTTGACGTTTTCACTCACAAATCAGACTCCCAACAAGACTCCAAACTAGAGAGATGGGTCCAACAGTCGGAGCCGTACTAACCGGACTCTTTATGAGGGTAAGGTCTTTTATCAACTATTGAAGAGCTATGGATGAATATATTTAGAGTTGACAGATAACATGACGGAGGCTTGACGATTGATAGGGTTGATGGAGTGTCTCACGTGGGTTTGGGGGTGGGGGCTTGATAAGAAGATAATTTGGAATCATCACATGTCGACGACGACGGATGCGATTGCAGACGAGTGATAATCATGCCTTATTGCGTGAAACTTTACACCTACGAATCAAATTTCAATTCTCGCGTGACTGTCGGCTGTTCTGTGAGTGCTACACTCGAAACAAAGCAAATATGATTCGATCTTATCCGGTTTTCCTCCACGGCTAACCGAACACTTTGTCTGTTGTTGATTCAGACTAGAGATAGCAAACAAACATGTTATTTCAAGTATCATCACATGAGCCAGAAAGGTGCTTTACTGCTCAAAACTAGGTGATCTGTTATCTGTTAGTTCCAAGCAATTACTTGCTCTTTCGAAAATTACGAAAAAAGCAACTATATACCTACTAAATAATGCTGCATCACCGAAAAGGGGGTCAGTACAAGCATAATGCAGTCACCGTCGGTGTCGTTGGTGGTTACGATTAGCTGCTTGCTAGCCAGTGCATTGCCAGATCTCCAATATGACCAGTATCACCCAAAGTTCCCACCGTCCCTAACAAACCGTGACAAAAACGAGCTATCCATCGATTACTGGCTGGACAATGCCCGAAAAACTGCGCACAAGTTGATCAATCAACCGGACAACAAGCGTATCGCCAAAAACGTGATTCTCTTCTTGGGTGATGGAATGTCCATCGCTACCGTAGCGATGGCCCGCATCTACGCTGGCGGGGAAGAACAGACCTTAGCCTTCTCAAGCTTCCCGTACATCGGAATGGCAAAGACCTACTGCGTCAACTACCAGGTAGCGGACTCGGCCTGCACGGCAACTGCCTTCCTAACCGGCGTGAAGGGCAACTACAATACCATCGGCGTGAACGGTCAGGTATCAAGTAATGACTGCACGGCCGAGCTGAACAAGTCGACACATACGTATTCCATAGCCAAGTGGGCGATGGATGCCGGTAAGGACGCTGGTTTGGTAACGACAACTCGAGTCACACATGCTACCCCAGCTGGAGTTTACGCTCACACATCCAACCGGGATCGGGAAGATGATGGCGAAGCTACCAAGGATGGGTGCGATCCAGAAACTGTTGAGGACATTGCTAAGCAGCTGGTACATGGTGAAGAGGGTAAGCGGTTGAAAGTTGTGCTAGGATGTGGACGCTGGCAGTTCCTGGATAGTGATCCGGACCCGGAAACGGGCCGTCGTGGCAGGCGAAAGGATAACCGGAATCTCATTCAGGAGTGGCTTGACTTGGCCAATGGAATCGAGAACCGGACGTACGTGTGGAACAAGCAGGACCTGCTGGAGGTTGATCCGCAGTCAACCGATCGACTTCTGGGGCTATTTGAACCCAATCACTGTGTGTTCAACTTGAATCGAGTGCATCAAGGCCTGGATAAAGAACCAACCCTTGCGGAGATGGTCGATAAGGCGACGGATATTCTGCGGAAAAATGAGAACGGGTTCTTTTTGTTCGTTGAAGGAGGCCGAATCGATCATGGTCATCACAACAACATGGCTAGGTTCGCTTTGGACGAAACGGTCGAGTTTTCGAAGGCCGTGGAACTTGCTCGTGGGAAGTTCAGCGAAGAAGATACGTTGATCGTGGTCACGTCCGATCATTCGCATACTGTGAGTTTCTCCGGATATTCGGTAAGTGTGAGCCCGATGGCATGGAAAATTGCTAGTACATTTTAATTCGATCGTATTTAGAATCGTGGGAGTGACATTTTCGGAGCAGCTGGCGTTGGCAGCGATGAGCTTCCATATATGACGATCAACTACGCTAATGGGCTAGGTTATTATGATCACAGTGATACCGTCAAGGGAACACGCAAGAACCTCGCCGAAATGGACACCACAGCAGATGACTTCCGATTTCCATCGACGGTTCCGCTGAAAAAGGAAACTCATGGCGGAGAAGATGTTGAAGTGTACGCTTCTGGACCTTGGTCACATCTGTTCACGGGAACGTACGAGCAGAATGCCATCCCACACATGATGGCGTACGCGGCGTGCATCGGCGAAGGGATGAAAGCTTGCTCTTGAATGTTTGTTGAACAGTTTGAAGCTGGATTTTAGAATCTCGAATAAAAGTAGGCTTTGAAATATATGCTCGTTTTGAGCCGTTGATTTGTGCGAACTTGTCATTGAACAGGCCTGTCTTGGTGGAAACTTAAAATCTAGTTCTATATTAATAAAATTTATCGAGCGCAGAAATTTCGACTAGCTCTCCCTCCAAATGCATATAAGGGAAAGTAACAATTTTGATTTTATGAGGCTTCTGATTTAGACTTGTAGAATGCTTTAAAACCTTGATAAAACTTGTAATGCTAAATTGCACTGCATACATGAAACATGAAACAAAATTTTCCCCTCAACTCGATTGGATCTGCGTCATAAAAAATGGTTCAAGACCTTTAGAAAAGATCAGAGAGCTTCGGAGCAGATATGAGAACTTCCGGGCAGTTCCATGAACATCAAAACAATTATGGAAACTGTAGGGAACATCCAAAACTTCTGGAAAGCTAGGAAAATTCGGCCTTATAACTCCAGAAAAATTGCAGGAACTTTACAGATGATCCAAGGACACAAAAAAAAAGTCAATTCAGAAAACTTCATAGATGTTAAGAGAACTTCAGGAAAGCTTAGACAAGTTCTGAACAAAATCAGGACAGCTGTCAGGAAAAAAAAAGGGTTTGGAAGATAAGCAGTTTCCAGGCAAAGCAGCGAAAGAAAATTTATTTTTATAACTGACCATCTACGATTTGTATGAAACTTTGCAAAATTGTTTTTTTATGATTCACATTTTTGCTAAAATTCGGCCATTTTAGATCAAATGGCGTCCTCGAAATTTATCAAAAAACTACTAGGGACAGCCCTATGGGGTTGTGCGCAATGGTGACGTAGGACTACGTGGTCTTATAAAAACAATCTTATTTGTTAACTGCAGCAGAAGCTTGTGTTTTGTGTAGGAATAGGAATTTGAGAGGGGTTCTCTCTATTAAACTCTTTAGTATGATGCGCTTGACATCGATGGCCCACAGCGAATCACGAAGAGCTACTGGTTCCGATCAATAGCGGTGCGGCTTCTTCCTCCTTCTATGGATGCTCATGTGGACTGCAGCTCGCTTCTTGCAGGCAACCTTTCGTTGTGTACTGGAGAACAATGTCAACACCACGTGCTCAAAGCACTGCTGCTACTGCTGATGATGCCGATGACCGGACACCACCACACACGGTGATTGGGACTGAATCCGATCAGCGGTTGTGGGCAGCCTTGATAGTTAGCTGCTTGCGGGAATCCTTTTGTTGTGTACTGGAGAACACCATCACTCAACACGCGGTGATTGAATAAACACCGTTTGGTGAGACCGGATGGAATTCAACTTTGAAATCTGTGTTAGGAAATCGTTTTTCGCTGGCAATCGGTGATAATTTTAATAATCATAGCAACAGTTGCACAATCGTGAAATTTTCAATAGTGACATTTTTGAAAATGGCAAATATTTTAACTAAACAGATGCGTTAGAATATTTCTGATCGATTGGTGATAAAATTATTGAAATTGGTCCAGGGGCAGCTGAGTTATTAACGTTCAAAATCTTTCATATTTTTGTTACATGTTCCATTTTCGGTTTTCACAAAGTGTACCCCCATATAGAAATCACAGACGTAGTCCTACGTCAAAAATGTAGCACAGACACGGCATTTCTGATCGAAATGACGTCTGAGACATAGTTGTAGAGAAAAATAATGTCTTTCTCGTTTACATTAGTAGCGTCTGTTACCTGTTCCCTTCCAATGCAGTAAAAAGATTCATTATAAGCGCTGGCCAATTATTATTATTGTAGTAGTTCAATAATTCAGGCTTATTTCACTTTGATTCACTTTTCACATATCGGTATATCAGAAAAGTAGTTAGAGGTTTGGTTTATTAACGTAAGGATATGGGTTCAAATGTATGAAATGTCTCAGATATCTATTGTAACAAAGCGAATTGATTGCCTTTACCAATATCCCAGTGCCACATATGAAAAATCTGTGAGAAACTCGCTCTAAATTTAGCATGCACTGTCCTTGAACTAGCCAGAATATTTTCAAAGAATACGTGAAATAACCCTAAATTTTCCCTTACAGAATACTCTGCTTCAACTCTACCAGGTCCATTCACACTCCAGCAATGCAAAAGTGGCAGCTTTTTATCACCTGCAGAAATTCCAATCATCTCCTTTCCACTTTCCCAAGCAAGAAAAGGACACAAACATGGCAAAATTTAGCAATTTAGATTGAATCTCTTGTTTGCCGCTGTTAATTCCTGTCGCACTCCTGCCATCATTCCCCGAGGCCCGAGAACCGAAGGAGATAGTCTTCCAATTTTCCTAGCTCTCTCCAACTTTACATTATAGACCAGATCCAGACTCTGCGCGCATTCCTTCGGGCCATTCCGTGGTACCCTCAGTGTACGCAGTCATTTTGTCGAAAATGGCACTCGGGCTATTTACCATTAATGGCAAATGTCGCTCTGCCTGCGTTGCGCCAACTCGATTCCGCGCTCGATCCGGGCAGAATCGTGAAACGGAACGAGACCGGATTTCATTTGGAATATGGCATTATAATTGAAATGAATATTAATTTCGGTGCGTGCTGGGAATGGCAAAATTTTACGAATCGTGCTTTTTCTCGAATTGGCGATTGAGTTTAAAGCGAACTTATTCGATTCCATGGCGGGGAAGCTAGACATGAGCAGCTTCAATTTTCCCATACACCAATCAGACGAACGAAAGACGACAAAAAGAAGCATTTCGACTCCCCATTCCACCATGTGAACGTGAATACGGACGGGACGAAAAATGCGCATCCTAAATCAAAGACATTCCCAAACAGAAAATATACAAAAAAAAGGCAATGTTTCACGACGACGACGATGACGACGACGACGACGACGACGGTGACGCCATTTGTACTCCGTCCGGTGGACGATGCTTGTTTGTTTCTTTTGTGGGGATTGCAATCCATTTCTCGCAGCACGGAGCAGTTTTGGGGAGCAGTCATTGGAAACGTCGCCATCGGGCTGAAGGAGTTCATCCCCGGGTGTTGAAGGGGTCTTCCAGAGACAACAAAGTCAAATTAAAAGCGAGTCGGTTTTAAATTTTCAACTGTTCAATTGTTTTTTTGTCCGATTTTCCAACTCTCAATTGTCCAATTGTCCAATTTGCATTGTTGCATTTTCCTTTTTTCATTTCCAATGGTTCATGTTCCGTTTATTTTTAATTTAATATTTCAATTTTGACGTAGGGTTAAGTCTTTCGGCAACAAATTGGGGTGCAATTTAAAAAAAAAAAAAAACAAAATAGCCCGCATTACGAAAAGTGGTCAGGTTTTGACCACACATAACTCTGTCAGTATTGGATGGATTTTAATTCTAAACAAGCAAATCGATTAGAATTTTTTTACGATTCTGCTAAGTTGAACACTTTAATAATTTTCAATAGGTCACTACTGAAAATTACACAAATGTTGCAATAGTGATCAAAATTATCACCGATTGCCTGCAAACAACGCATTCCCTAACACAGATTTCAAAATCGAATTCGATCTTGTCTCACTCTGCTTATTCAATCACCGTCTGTGGTAGTGTCCGGTCGGTAGTCACCAGCAGTAGCAGCAGCAGTGCTTTCAGCGCGTAGCGTTGAACACAGCATTTTTTTCTAAGTTCAATCTGTATTTTCGTCGTAATTTTTTTAGATCTATATCTGGCTGACAAAAATGTGTATAATTTATTTATTATGGTCATAGCACGGACCTACGTAAACCTCGCTTGAATTCATTCAAAGTGCGGAAAGAGTTTGTTCAAAGTTTAAAATCATGAAAAGTGAAGTTTGCTTTCTAAAGCATGTCTCTATTTAATAGTTCTCGAAATCTCAGAATCTTGATTTTCAAAGTGATTTGCATCACTTCAAGCCAAAAAAAAAAGTCCCAGTAGCGAAAGACTACCCTGGTTTTCGTTAATAGGATTTTCGTCAATACAGTGCGCCGTTCGCATTCTATACCGTATCGTCGTATTGTACGACCACATTTTCCAGTGTTTTGACCAACCGTTGCTGGTGGTAACCCATTTCGGCCGTATTGACTAGACCTTCTCTACAGACTTATAATGTTGGCATGAGACCCGAAGCTGTTCTGGATGAAACAAGCTGAGAGTTCCGCTATGAATCGGATGAGATTTGTTGGTTTTGAGAAGATTCATGGTGCATAAAATACTTATCGATTTTTCCATTGGAATTTTTCGAAAAATGGCAAGGCAAAAACAAATTAGTCAACCTAAGCAACAATTAGCTAAACGTTAACATTCGACAGTAGCGAATGTTTGTGCCCTACTTGTCAACGTGTGCCCTAGCGCGCTGAAAAGTGTGCCATGCTGTGTTTCGGCACAGTGTGCAGAGTTAATTACCCCTTGCGTCTTTGTCATTTTTCAATAAATTGTAGTACAAAAACGAACATCTGATCGAAATGACGTCTGAGACAAGGTTGTAGAGAAAAATAAAATCGGTAATTTTGTTTGGTTACTTTGGGTAAAAATTCCATAAAAGTTTAATACCCTGGACAGACTATGGCTTATATCATGTAAAACCCAAATTGATCCACCGGGCAGGTGAATAGAACCTTTGTTACCCAGTATAATCTCGTTTTTGATATTATCCATAGATATATGTACGAGCCCTAATGGATATTTTTTATTGGTCTCAGTTTCTGCACTGCTCAATTGCTGCAAACAAAACAGCAATTGCTAGTTTGAATTGGAGTCCAAAACATAAATCATAGCTTTTTACTTAATCTGCTTTATTGTGCTCTACATACTTTAAGCACAATCTTATTAAATACAATCTTATTATATTACAACAATATTTAACGAACCAATAAAGTTAAATAATCAATCAGCCCAATTCTCTTCATTGATTTTCTCTTTCGCGAATAACCCGACTGCAAATGAATTTCCCATTCAGTGTGTTGATTCAGGTGCAAGCTAGTCGCTATATTTATAGTCT